AATCTAGCATGCGATTCACAGATTCATAATTCAAAGCATAACATAAAACATGTATGGGTATTTTGGGAAAATTTACTTGAGCTCATTCGATTGCATGCACCACACCCCTTTCTTTTATTAGAAAAAATATTTTTGTAGAACATTTCTTTTATGAAAAATCTATCAAATCCTCAGTTTGAGTTCAAACACACCCGAGAGTATGCTTGAATCCCTCAAACCAAGACTCTGATACTAACTTGTAACGTCCCAAACTTTAAGACCAAAATTTTCGTTTTCAAAAATAATAAAATCATCAATCAAACATGTTTATAAAACCATAAAGGAAAAACTGAGTATGAAAATCAAACATCCCAAAATACACCAGAGTCAAGTAAGGTGGAAATCATGGTGTGTATGCGATGCGATCATCTCGAGCTCTTCCCTTTTGATCCGGAAGTACCTAAAACATAAACTGATAACCGTAAGCACGAAACTTCGTGAGTTCCCTAAAATACCACACACCATACATATATTCTAGCGCAAGGCTATGCTGAGTCTATTTCACCCTTGAGTCTATTTTAACTCATGCATCGGCCCAAGGTCATACTGGGTCTATTTCACCCCCGAGTCTATTTCAACTCATATGTCAGCACAAGCCTGTACCGGGTCTATTTCACCCCACATACATATACCAAACAAGTACATAAGCATATAACACATACATCATGAGTCACAAAAACTACAAGCACATAACATATCCTAGTGTTCTACAGTATAGTGAGAAAACTCACCTCAGTCTGCTGTCAGTCAAACAAATGATTGGGCTGTTGAACCGGAAAATCCCCACGCTAATCAATCAAATAAAACCCCAATCGATAACTCGGCCATAAACCATAACTGGGAATCTAGTTCATTTCTCCAACACCCAAGGTAAAAGTGCATTTAACCATTTCCTCACTTCGCCCAATAACTGAGCCCCAACCTAAACGCGCCAAAATCCTAATATGGCCCAAATCCCTAAATGATACCCAAAGCCCATTATGGGCCCAAATCTAAGAAGGCCCAAAGCCTAATAATGTCCCAAAGTAAGAAATACTTGTGGCCCAACAAGGACTAAAACCCTAATAGTCCAAATATAGCCCAAATCACAAAAGTCAACGAAAGTCAACAGCTGCTGAGTACGCCCAACGTACTTAGACTTACACCATGCGTACGAGCTAGGTATGCCACCTTTGGCCACTTCTCAGATATGATGCTAAATGATGTCTTAACACGTAAATTTGGCAACTTTACTCCTTTTCATGACTTAATGGGACCCAATACTTGATTTTGACCAATAAAACCCGTAATAAGAACCCTAACTCATGCATGGTCCAATATAACACATCAAGATTGAATTTTTATGCATAAGGGACCTCAAAAATGCTAAGATCTACCATCCCTAGCTTCTGGAGTAGCTCATACTCTCAATCATGACTTAAAGGACCATAAAAAGCACAAAAACAAGCCCTAACTGGATCTATCATAATGAACTATCAAGTTAAGAGCTTTATACCTCCAAAAGCTTTCCAAGTTAATGATGATTCTGGAGCCACAAGCTCCAACCACACCAATGAAACTTTCAAGAGCTCCTCTTCCTTCAAAATCACCAAAAACACTCTCAAAGATCACTTCCAAGCTCAAAACAATCAAAAGGCAATTAGGGTTTCGTTCTCAGGGTTTGTGTAACACTTGGTTTCGAATCGTTTTAATATTTGGTGAAATAAACCGATCATCCGTTACCATAAGGCTTAGGGCCTTGGGGAAGAAGTGAGTTGGCCCTTTTTGATTGTGGATATTATAGATTTCATAATCCAAGAGTTCGATTATGTGTCGGAGCCCAAGGGTATTATCGTAATTCGGTAGTTCGGGCATTTATGAATTTTGGGTTTTTGTTCGGGAAGTTTTAAGGCCGGGGGCGAGTTGTTAGAAGTGAAGGGATTCTCGTCACCTTTCCATGGATATGAAGTTCGTTGGAAACGGACTTAGAGCGAAGGAGTTATGGCTAATTGAAGTTAAGTGTTGTAGAAGGTTCATCGAGTACACGGGGTGTACTCGTCGTGTACGCAGGGTGTAGTGCCTGGCCAGATCGCAGATGTCTCTCGAGTACGCCAAACGTACTAAGGGGTATGCGGGGCATACTCCCTTCAGCCATGAAACCCTAATTTTTGGTTCTTTACCCTATTTAAACCTCGTTTCTTCATGAGTCTAGTCTTTTATAAGCCTCTAAGTCTCCTAAACCCTAATAGTCGACCCTTACCCTTTATCTTAGAGCTTTTAAGACATTGTGAAGAATCTTGGAGTATTTTTGTGCACTTTGAAGAGTTTGGAGCTTGTTGAAGAATCATCACTTAGAGGGCAGCTTGTAGATCCAGAAGTTTTTCAACTTTTGCAATTTTATTGAAGGTAAAAAGCTTTGATCTTGACATCTCTTTGGTTAGATCTTGTTTGGGGGTGGCTTTTGGTCCCTTTGGTTTGTATTTATGAGTTTGAGCTTATCCCAAGGGTTTAGACACTAGTTCTGGACGTTTTAGGTGTCCCAAATGCATAAAAATGTGATCTTGATGGTTGATATCAACTCATGCATGTTTTTTAGCCTCTTTGATGAAGTTGTAAACTGAGAACTTGGATTTGGAACTCATTGAGCCATGCAAAAGCTCAAAGTTAGCAACTTTATGGATTAAGGCATGTTTTGGAACTAAATCTGAGCGTTGGACGTTTTGGCTTAAGTGATTAAGTGCTTAATGGAGTATGATGGGGTTCAGGGAATTTCGTTGGGCGTACCCATCTGGTACGCTGCGCGTACTGGCCCCAAAGGTAGTACGTTAGGCGTACCAGCTGAGTGCGCGGGGCGTACTCGGCCTGGTTGACTTTTCTTGAAATGTTGACTTGTTGACCAAGGATCATTGTACCAAAAGTTTGACCAGGGTTGGCCTTTGGTTATTTTGGGCCTTTTAGGGTATTGGGCCTTATCTGGTTAGGCCCATGATGGGTTTGGGCCCAATTTGGATATTTGGGCCTTATCGGGCCTTGTGGTGTCATTTAAGGGATTGGACTTATGATGCTAGTGGGTTGGTCTTTGGATTTGGGAAAGTAAGGAAAAAGGGTAAAATGGACTTTTACCCTGAAGGTCTGGTTATTGGTCTAGAATCCTTGATTGGGTCGGGATCTGATTGTTGATGAAATATATTTGTTGATGTCAGTGCAAGGATTCCGGCAGCAGCGGCTCGAGTATTCAGTTATCTTGGATTGAGGTGAATCTCATCACTATACCAATGGGTCGAAGGCACCAATGTTGACCCATTATCTGACATGTGGATTGGCAGTTGTTATGCAATTAATTGTCTAAAGACCCTGGGGGTAACCCGTGGCTCTTAGATATCAGGTCATGGGGGTAGCCCATGGCATTCCAGATAAAGACCATGGGGGTAGCCCATGGCACTTAGATATCAGACCATAGGGGTAGCCCATGGCATTCTAGGTAAAGACCATGAGGGTAGCCCATAGCACTTGGATATCAGACCATGGGTGTAGCTCATGGCATTCTAGGTAAAGACCATGGCGGTAGCCCATGGCAACCTTATGTATGTGGCATGGTATTTTGTGGTTGTATGTTATGTGATATTTTGGGAACTCACTAAGCTTTTGCTTATAGTTGTTGTTTATGGTTTCACGTACTTCCGGTTCGAAAGGGAAGGACCGGCTTGATCGCAGCGCATACACACATATTTTCCGCAACCTTGAGATTTTGGGATTGTACTCTGATAACTGCTTTTATTATAATATACCTTTAATAGTTTGAATAAATGATAAATGAGTGTTTTGATTGTTTTAAAAATGAAAATTTTACCCTGACATTTTCGGGATGTTACAGTTTGGAGAGGTGGAGGCTGGTCATAAAAAGGTCCAAGGGCAACTTAAGGTGTTTAAATAGGGCTTAAACCCTAAAAATTAGGGTTTATCCGAGATGGTCGTATGCCCTGCATATGTGGGTGCCTCTGCGATCAAGATATCGACCTAGTACGCCCAACGTACTTGGCCAGGGACCAAAATGCAAGAATTTTAAGTTAATGGCAAAAGGGGAAAATACTTGAAATGAAAATGTTACAGACTTGTTGGTTACAGGTCCATTAGCATGGTCCAGGCAGCTCTGGCGCGCCAACCTTGCATGGCACTCTCCTGACGCTCGCCTGTCAGCCTTGTCTGGCACCAGCCTGTCGGCCTCGCCTGGTGCGGGCCTTTAGGTCGTGCCTAGAGCTCGCCTGGCGCCCCCCTGTGCGGCTTTGCCCAACTCTTTGCTAGTTAGGCCTGAATTGGGCTGGCCCAAGGCCTGACCTAGCTCTCCCTTGTCCTAATTGTCCCCTATAAATAGAACATGACCTCCTTTATGGAGGAGGACCCTTTCACCCTCAGGCATCTCCCTCCTTGGGAGATCAGCCTCCATTATGGCCAAACACACACCCAACACACCAAGATGGTTCTCTCCAGCTAGGACCATCTCATATCTACCACCTGGTCTAACTTGATCGTCGGAGCTTGCTCCTGGGGCACAATCCCTAGGGAAACTCTAATGACGTTGTTGTGATGGCAGCTAGGTACCTCGCCGGGAACTCGCTAATGGCACCACTTCCAGATCTCTGATCCAGATCTGAGACATCAAGACCCGGCAGTCTGAGCACATATCACAACTAAACAAGGAACATGAAGTAATGCTAAATCATACATTCTAAGGCTATAAAATACTAATTATGTACAACTATGAAACATATACTTAGCAACTAGCAGTATCAGTCTAAACTACATCTAAACTACAGGTAGCACAAAGCAAGAAATCTCCTAAGCTACAAGACATCACACAAATCAAACAATTCTATCAATGCAATTCCTGAAGGGATCCTTAGCCTATCTACAAGATTTTTATTTCGAAGATTGTCATTATTAATGAAAATATAACTCAATTCATTTGTTAAACTATATCAGTTACTTCAACACTATATATTCTACATACAAAGTTTTTATGTACATAACAAACTTTTGTACACAATAAAGCTTGCGAACAGACACCAAAAAATCCAGCACACTCAAATGTCATAAGCCCATCACATAACTTGATTGCAACTCCCAATATTCTTTAGTTTGGGTTAATATTCTTTCTCGCTCTTCCATCAGTCTCTTCTTAAATCCATCTTTATACCTACAGATACCCTAAATGTTAGGTTGTTTTTAGACTCTAGTGTTCGAGATATCAAAAATAAAAGAATCGCTTTTAAAAAATGTATATAACATTTAACACCATAAATATTACATAACCAAAAACATTAACCATGATAAGATTATATATTATGCAAGTATCTTAAACCTTTAGCCATTGCTATTCTTGAGCTATTAAATGCAACAAACCTAAGCTAACAGTTTCATCCAATGATTTATCATTATGCAAATTTTATGTAAAAAAACATACCTTATGTTATGTTTCTCGCAGCTAACTTATTTTTCAATCTTTTTTAGGTTGTCATTTTTCACAAGCCAAAAAATATATGATAAGCTAGCTTTTAAAAAAAGAAACTACTTAGAATAGCTTTTCAACCAGCTTATAAAGTTTTTTCCAAATTCTCTCATATATACCCTTAATTAATTATAATAAACATATTTTTTTACATACTCATATATATAATTTTATTATTTCCAACTAGTTTATTAACTAATTTTTATAAAACATCATTTTTTATCCGCTACCAGCTAACTTTTCAGTTAGTCTATTAAACATAATCTTACTCGATTTCTATTTTAAGAACAGAGGAGAGACGTTATAAGTTTATAATATCAATCCGGTTATTAATAAATTAAGATTACATTTTAGATAACAATATTACTTTTAGTTTTAGATAACATTTTAGATTACATACTCATATATATCATTTTATTATTTCCAATTAGTTTATTAACTAATTTTTATAAAACATCACTTTTTTATCCGCTACCAGCTAACTTTTCAGTTAGTCTGTTAAACATAGTCTTAGTCGATTTCTATTTTAAGAACATAGGAGAGACGTTATAAGTTTATAATATCAATCCGGTTACTAATAAATTAAGATTACATTTTAGATAACAATATTACTTTAGGTTTATTAATGGGTTAATTTATGTTATATTTTATCTATAGGTTAAAGTAGTTTGCTTAAAAAGAATTGGATACCTAGATTGTAATTTTAATGCATATAACCTTTTAAATTACTTTATTCAAAGTATCAAATCGGATGATTCAATCTTTTTAGTGGATTGGTGAAAGGAACTATTTGTCTTCTTCGATGTTTTTAACTAGCGTTTGTGTTATAGAGAAATACTATTATGAAAAGTAATTTTATGGAGTGGGTATGGAATTCTCAAAGATTACCTTCTTTTTAAGAGCAAACCTAGTTCAGACATGCACACTGATTTACCATACACTCCACTCTGAAATAAAACACACCATTACCATATTAAATATAAAATATTAATCTATGTTTTTTTAGATAAAATAATTAAAAAAAGATTTTGCTAAGTATAGCATCATCCAACCTCTCGACAAACTGGACACTTGGAGCCTGGGCTTGCATACTTGAACCCTTGAATGATCAATACACCAGCCGCCAAACAAGCACAAGACTTGCAAAAAATGTGTCCACAACTCAAAGCATATGGTTGAAAAACAATGTCCTGAATTCACCATTTTATAAAAAAAAGATATTAATTAATGGAATTTGCAATTAAATTAAATGTTTATTTTTCAAACATACCAAACAAATAGGACACTTGAGACTATACTCCAATTTTTCAGAACCTACGAGTGTCAGAGTTAGTTGTATAGACTCTTCATTGGGGATGTTGAGATCATAAGATAGTTGACCAAAAAGCTCATCAGAACTCAAACTATCTGACCCATTGAGATTCATATAGAAAGCTATTAATTCAATCAACCATGGAGATTGCATAATGTCCAAGTGTTTGGCTTGCAATTTGGACTTAAAGTTCATACCACTTGCAGATTCATGCACCTGTTGTGATAGACAGATAGATACATATAATATATAATCAAGATTCAAGAACAAGAATTGAAACAATGTGATTATATTGGCTTACTTTGTCGTATTTTTTAAGAATCTTTCTGAGTGCGATAGCATTCATGACAACAAATTGGATTAGCATCAATCCTTTGTGTACAAGTGCTTCGTGATCACCTTTAAAACATTGAAATAGCCAACATAAGAATCTTTGGATGCCAGGAGTGAAATGAAGATGAACAAGCTGCTTGACTCTGAAACTAAAATTATCAGATATCTTGGTAGCTTCCATCGTTAATTCAGAGAAAATCCCCTCACATCCTATAAAAGGACGACATGCAATATGTAATTGTTTCAAGATCATCTTCTGGGAATAGTCACTTTAGGGATATGATAATTGTGGGTTTAATTGATGATAAAAGGGACAAAAGGAAAAGGAAACTTACGATGGCAGGATTGATGAGGAACAATCTGATTGAGATCATTTTCGGAGTTTCCGTCGCCATGAGAATCAGTTGAAGCTCCAGTATCTCTATGACGCCTGCAAAAGTTCAAATCATTCTTGAGCTTCTTGTACTCAAAATGACAGCTTTTGTTCGGATCCTTCCCTTCATCTCCCACTAAATAAGCCGTAAACGTCTCTTCGAACCCCATATCTCCGAATCTCCGATTCAATTCAATTAGGACCCAAAATATCAAAAACAAAATGAAGAAATCGACACATTGCTGAACGAGGATATTCCTATAAATTATCTAATCAATTTCTATACCAAATATCGTCTGATATGAGCTTCGATTGACCAATCTTCCACGATATGTTAGAGCTGATAGAAATTTTAGAGTTGAAAAGTAATTCTGCTCTGAAAAATATCAAAATCGACTTGTTTCAACCAATAACTGATACGAATTTAAACTAACCAAAGCAATAAAAGTCGCCGGAGAATAGTCGACGACTTCCGACGGAGCAGAGTAGAGTAATATTAAAGATGAAGAAGTGTCGACATTTTATCCAGAAAAAGACATATCAACGGATCTTGCACAACTCCAAAAACAATCGGAAAATAGAAACAGGATATACCATATCCATTATCTATAAATGGTTTATTTTAAATTTATCTTCATATAAAGTTAATAGTTTTGTAATTCGAAATTTTTCAAAAAAAAAAAAAAACCATTACATATTTTATCAGAAATTATTTTTTATTTTTTTTTTCAGAAAAATCATCTATATTTATAAATAAAAGTTTCAAAAAAATCATTCATACTAAAAAAAAGTTTTTGAAAAAACAAAATTTTAACAGATGAAATCGGTGAGCATGTTCTTACAAGTTGGAACAAACTTTAATATATTTTTTTTTATTGAACGACAAAAAGAAATGTATTAAAATAGGGGAAAATACCGGGTATAGACATTATTTGGGGTTGAATTTCAAAATATAGACACAAAAAATTGAATTTCTGGGTATAGACATGGATTCCGCGGAGGTAGTTCCGCGGAGGTCCGCGGAATCCACTGTAGCTCCGTCGAATGGCAAACTCGTAAATAAATTATGAAATAAATAAATAAATAAATAAATAAATAAATAAATAAATAAACTGAAGATCCATTTCGCGGAGCTACAGTGGATTCCGCGGAGCTCCGCGGAGGTAGCTCCGAGGAATGGATTTTCAAAAAAAAAAAAAAAAAAAAAAAAAACTCCTCCAATGATTCTTTTATGTAATGATCCCTAATTAAAAGCTCAATTTTTTTCCATCTCACATTCATTCCAAACATTGGCAAGAAAAATTCATAGTATCATGAAAATAATTAGTTGGAGGAATGAATATAAACCCCGAAAAATCGATTTGAAAAAAAAAAACAAAACAAAAAAACAAACTGAAGATCCATTCCTCGGATATACCTTCGTGGAGCTCCGCGGAATCCACTGTAGCTCCGCGGAATGGATCTTTAGTTTTTTTTTTTAATACACTAATTTATTTACGATTTTGTCATTCCGCGGAGCTACAGTAGATTCCGCGGAGCTACCTCTGCGGAATGCATGTCAATACCCAGAAATTTCCATTTTCATGTCTAAATTTTGAAAATACCCCCCATTTTTTTACTATTGCCGGTATTTTCCCTTAAAATAGCCAATGCGCTGTTGGGAAAGTACAAGAAGAGAAAAACCAAAATACCACTAAAAGTTTATTGAGATGCCAGATGACATCTATGTAATTAATATATGTCCATTTAATCCAAAATTGAGGTATTAATTAGGTTTGAGGGAGTGGCCTCATATGTCCATTTAATCCAAAATTGAGGTATATTAGGCTTGAGGGAGTGGCCTCACCACCACTTTCAGCCTTGTTAGGAGATGCTACACTGCCCCTTAATGTTTGTTAGGAGAATTTATTTATGGGTGTCGGGAGAGGAGAGATAAATAATGGGTGAAGGTGATTGGTTGCAAGCTCTTTGAACGGATCTAAGCTTAATCAAACATAGTTTCATAATTTTTTATAAAAAACAAAACCTTTTTTTATCTAATGAAAAGTGGAGTGCTAGGATTGTTACTACTCTCTATGAAATGCTAAAAATTGGATGCTAGCGAGGTAGCAGCCAAAAAAATGACGTGTCGCTAAAAAAAGTTATGTGGCAAGATGCTAGGGTGTTTCCACTCCCTCTAGCCTTAGGTTTTATACTTTTTTTTTCACAACCTTTTTATTAGTTTCAAGCACAAATTTTGGGAACCAAAATTATTAGGTCTATTTTTTATTTTTTTTTGCAAACCTAAAGTCATCACAACTTTTACTTAAGGAAAAACAAAACATACAAATGCGACCAACATTACAAACATGATGGTCACTACTAAAGAATAAATACGGAAATATAACTAAGTTCAATTAGGCTTCCTAACTAGGTTGAAGCGATTCGACTTATTTATGTAAATATGAATACAAATAAAAGGTAAAGTATGAATATAACTTAGTTCAGTTAAGATCATGAGCTTAAGTGTCGAGCATTCTAATACTAAAGCTCAACTCGATTATATATGAGCTCGTGCTCGACTCGTCTTGTCTCGAACCAAGTTGATTTCGTGTATTTTCTGAGTCGGTTTTGAGTATTGCTTGAGTTTTCTCGACTCAAGTACACCCTATGTGGTCTTCAAATTTAAGAAGATACGCATCTTTGAAAAAAAATAACCAATGTAAAAAGTTTTATGTGTTTTATGTGTGTCCTAATTACAAGCTCGAAATTAAACATACAAAAATTGTTTTGAAAACATCCAAACTCCATAAAAGTCAAATAGTTCATTAGACTCATAGTATAAAGTTTAATACTTTCAAGAGATCCGAAAGAGATTGATAATAAATAGTTGATAAATATCAACAATTTTTAAGAGTTCAACATATATATTAAAAGGGAATAATTCAACAAAACAAGCTTGAAATGTGTATGTTTCTACTCCTTAATCTCATGTCATCTAATGTCCAAATTCTCAATGATGATTAACAAAAACAAACTCATGAATAGTTAGCACTTTGCATGTAACATGTATATTAAATTATTGCATATTCTAAAAACTAGGTACAAATGAAACCATCACGCTAGACCCCATGAGAGATAGCTAGTCCATATTATTATGAAGAATATCCTGCTTTTAGGAATATTGAATATCTCAAGTCCAAATTACAAACATATGCCACACGGTCACAATCTCATCCTAAGTGAATGCACATATAATATGCTGAAACAAATTACAAGACAAACATTATGAAAAACCCACAACTTTATGAGTTTTGCTTGTATAAAATAGAAGAAATGATAGAAATTTAAAATAGTTTGAGTGAGGTTGGTATATAAAATTGGTAGTTGTTTATATATTTATGGGTAAAAATGAATTATATATATATATATATATATATATATATATATATATATATATATATATATTAAGAGCTACCCTCTCAACAGCTAGTTAAGATGTAAATGCTAGCTACATTTTCAGCTGCAGATATTTTCTGATCAACAACTCCTACGAAGTTTGTGGTGTTTGATGTCAGCATGTTGTCCACGTCAGATGTTGACGATAATTCAAGCACCCACACCGTTCAACCTTAGTAGATTGTGTCTTGAGGGTGTTGGTTAAAAGTTAAATAGTCAAATTCGTAAATAACTACAAATATTGGAAAGATAAAACTGCAAAAATGGTCCATATGGTTTACGTTTTTCAGGAAATACATATAAACCATGAAAAAATTGGATAGATGGTCCGTTTGAGCATCTTCCCTTGTGTATTTGGTCCCTCGGAAATTAAAAAGACTAAATTATTCTCCTGATTTTTTTTTATGTTTTTTTCTATTTAAATTAAAATTTTAGTAAATATATGGGGCTCACACCCAACCCATCCACCACTATCTCCACCATTCCCCTACATTGTCTTCCTCAAGTATCCCACTCATCATCCAAGTTTTAGGTTGATACAACAAGAAAGTGATATGAGATTAAGATCAAGATCAAGATCGAGTATGAAAACCATTAAAAGTAGCGACAGCATTAAATCAAATGAAATTTGGTTCAAACGAAATATGATTAATAAGTTTCGGACCCAACAACCACCCACATCATCTTCTTCCTCACTATTGCAACTCAAAAATAAAGAAAACCCCACATATATTTTCCTCATTCCTCTCTCAAACACCATCCCATCTCATGTAACACCCTAAATTTTTCAAAACTTTTTCAAAGCTATGGATATAAAATCTTTTGAAAATTAACCTACATTTAATAAAAACTTGGTCCCACAAAAATATTTAAAACATTGGGTGTTACCATTAAGCATCAATACAATCATAATAAGCAAATAAGCACATCAATACAATTAATAAGAAACTTAACAAGCTTCACTCCATTCACTATCTCTTAACTTCTACTTTCATCTATTATCTTTCTCATTTTATATAACCTGAGATACATGAAACTAAAAGAGATATGTAAGACAATAATGTCTTGTGAGTTACATGGGTTTGTGACCCAAAACATTTCAAAGCATTTACATTAAAAATATTTTCATACATAACATAACATAGTTTTAGATCATAAAACATTTTCAAGCATTTTCAAGGAAAACTCTTTTCATACACATCATTAATATCATTTCATATCTTTTCATTTCATTTCAAAAGACATCTTTCCACATTCCATCCTCTTTTATCAATAAGGGTTAATTTCAGTATTAAACTATTGCCATTTTTTTATACTTAAGGTACCCTCAAGTCTAGACCAAGGTGGAAAGAACAATTCAATCCACCCATGCATCATGCTAATCAGGACGTCTACTTCACGAAGGGGAGGTACCATCGTAGATTCCTATAGACCTCTTATGAGGCTTCATGGTCCGGACAGTTTTCATTGCGCCTTTTTATTTTCTTTTTAGCTTTCTCATTGTGCCTTTTTTTACCTTCTTTTTAGCTTTCACATTCCCCATTATCAATACTCATATCATCATTTATATTATTATATGTTACTAGAGAGATACATTTTGAAAAGACACATTTCACATATCAAGACATTCGTTCTTCCAAAGCATTCTTTGCTTTCAAAACATTCTTACTTTCACGACATTCTTTCAAAATATTATTTTCAAAAGCATTTAACACTTTCATTTCAAAACATTTCATATATCAAATCATTGGCATTTCATTATCATAAAATCATTTTTCCATGTACCCCAAAGTGGGAAAATTCCAACACATACTCACCTCAATAACATGAAGGTTAGCTAGTCCTCTTCTAGTTCCATTCATTAGAGCAACACTCTTCATAAACTACCAATATAATATGGACATAAACCATTAAACTGATAAAAATACCACTCATAGGTTTCATTACTAAATATTATTGTTTCAAATCAATCCTCGTGTAAAAATATGAATGTAGGCGAAAACCGCGCACAAATCTGAGTCTGTATGCAAAAGTTACGAGGAAAATACTAAAGTTCAGATTTTGGTCGAGCTGGGGGTTCTGACCCTGCACGCGGGTCGCATGCCTGACCATGCGGGTTGTGCACCCCAAACACCCCCAAAAACTCAGTTTTTGATGCTTATACTTGCTTGGATGGTTTTGGTTTTTTAGGTAACCATTTGTAACACCTGTAAAGGTTTCCAAGCACTACTAGAGAACGTTTTATCATGTCAAAACATTCAATTTAATTCATTAAGTCCTCAATTAAAGTTTTAAGTTTGTAATGCTTACAAACACTCAATGAAAGTTATAAGAGTTCAAGTTGCTCAATAGCACTCCTTAACCAATATGACTTATTCTCAAATCATTTAATACACCTTACTAGCATCCCTTCATATTTGTGTTCTAATATCATCTCCAGAGTGTCAATTCATGTTCATGAATGTCATTCACATCTAGTATGGCAATCATCATGTAGTTATCCATAGATTTCCCAAAATGCCCTTATGACCAAATATTCCATAAATTCAACTAAATATCATTCAAGTCTTCATGGTTTTGCATTCAAATCATGTTATTAGTATCAACTCATGTTTATGAGTATCATATACTCATCAAATGCTCACAAACAAAATATTCCATTGTTTTTATCACATTTCACTCAATTCCATTATAATTCTAACATATATATGATTCTACAATCATGGATGAATATGAGCATTCTAATTGGATGATATCAAATATCATCTAGGTCATAGAATCCAATCCCATTTCATCATCAATTACAATACCCCAAATTTGGGTTTTCTAGGGTTCATGAAGGTTTTCACTTAATCAACAAATCCAACAATAATATGATTGGATTGAGATTAGAACCATGGAAACCACTCAAGGGAGGTTAGAAAACCAAACCCTAATCACTTTATATCATCAAATTCGACATTGGGGTTTTACCCACTTCACTAAATCAATCTCTAGGCTAAGAGGGGAAGTAATTATACCTTGTAAGCCTTTGTTCATTCCTTTCTTTGCTTGGATGTCCAATTCCTCACTTGAATCAACCCTTAGATGGAGAGAAGATGAAAATATCCATTAGAGGGTCTTTAGGATGCAAGAACACAAATATGGTAAATGAAAGGAGAGTGTTTGCATCTTACTTCCCACTTTTTCACATTTAGTCCCTCTAGTTTTCCATTTTGGCCAAAACTCACCAAACCTCAATATTTGTGATTTTAACTTAGGTTTTTACCTTAATAAGTCCTTCGCCAGCTATTATATAACTTTTGTAGTCTTTTCCATTAATCAAGTCAACCCTTTGGTCAATTCATGTTGCCAATTAGACACTTTTGACCTTTTAACGTTTAAAATGTTATTATTTTTACTTCTAATTTTATAAACTTCATATCAACTAATGATATGATTATGCATTGATGATTTAACTATATAAATCATCTTTCATTTATTTACTATATAAATTTAAGAATGTAGTCGTAAATTTTAAATTGTTACATCTCACTTCCATCCCCACGCCTTTAATCTCTCGTTGTCGGTAAAAGCTTAGTCACCTACGATTAACAACGGAGGGGGTTGGTTATGATTTTGTTTCTCCATCAGGCTTATTCACCTCCTTAGGCTGATATACTTCGTGAACTCAACAATCAAAAACACTCACATCAAAAAGCATTCATTTTTATCAATACCCACATCTAAAAATCATCAGTTGTAAACAGAAATCACTTTGGTAAATTTTGTTAAAAAAAACTTAGTATATCAACCAAACGAAGCATCAGAATAAATTTATGTGGTTTGCAACGAACTCGTGTTGGACGTGTTTCCCATGTTTTTCTATTGATTCTTTGGTGCGATGTACTCAATTGGCTATACCTTTAAATCTTCAGGATTTTATCTTCCATGGAGAATACCTAATTGTTTAGGACAACATCTTCGTGCACTCCAGGTGCTCGAACTTACGTCTAGTTCAGTCTTCAGTTCAATTCCTCCGTCGATTGTTTCTCTAAATCAACTCAATCTTCTACTTCTTGTCGATAGTTCTCTTATCAGGATTATCCTAGATTCTTGAACACAACTTTCATCGTTATCGGTTCTAAATTTTCCGCTCAATACGTTGACATGATCCATACCCTCTTCATTTTCAGCTTTCACCAATCTCACAATTCTTGATTTATCTTCAAATTTCTTATATGGCCCGATTCGTATGAACTTTGGTTCATTTTCTCGTTTTCAATTCATAAATCTTTCCAACAATTGTCTTGGTTCTGCTCTTCTTGTGCAACTTAAAAATATTTCTCATTTAGTTGACATTGATGTTGATTCAATTCATTGTCTTTCCAAATGAAATAGGTCATTTAAGCAAGTTAAGGAGATTATTGGTTAGAAATAATAATTTGGGTGTTAATCTTCCTTTTAGATATATATATATATATATATATATATATATATATATATATATATATATATATATATATATATATATATATATATATATATATATATATACAGAGAGAGAGGTATTTGGACTCATTTCTATATTTAATAATAAAAATAACGGCATTGCGGACCGACCCGAATCGGCGTGGACCCATTGAACTAGGCTATTCTCGGATATGCTGTTGTCATTGGGGATAGTACAGTTGCGAGAGAGTACGCACTGATCCTGCGCTGCATACAAGTAAATGTTTCCGAAAGGAAATCCCTACTTTCAGCACGCGGGGATCTTAATAGGATAACTTTAAAAAATAGAAAAAAAAGTAGAAAATCAGTTTTTGAAGGGACCAAATAAACAATGGAAGATGCTGAAATGGTAGCTAATTTTTTCTAAGGTTCGGACATTTTCTAGAAAAAATGAAAACAACAAGACCAATTTTACATTTTTGTCTATTGGAAATTAACAAAACACAAAATTTAAAGAAAGCATAAATCACACTTGAAAAAGAAAATTATGAAAATGGAAATAAACAATAGTGGTATGACGAAATAATAAAATAAATTTGATGATTCATTTGGATTAACTACAAAGAAATAGGCCCATGAACACGGATCAATATATACACCCGAAAGAAAGCCAGTTTTAAACAAAAAAATTCCATTGCCGGGAATCGAACCCGGGTCCCCTGGGTGAAAGCCAGATATCCTAACCGCTGGACGACAATGGAAGTTTTGATTATATATTATATTCTATTTACGTATTGTTGTCAAGGTTAAGAAGTTTGTTAGAATGAATATGAATAGTAGTGAAGTTGAAAGGTGTGATGCACCCAACACACTGTTGCATACAGTCAATGTGACCCATTTTTGCATTAATATCTACGGTGGCCGTTAATCAACCCACCGGAAATTCAGTTCTCCGGTAATGGCACGTTCCTTTTTCTTACTATACTCACTCTCCCGCCGGCGAGTCTCCGATTCACTCAGAAGCTTGTTCTTCATTCCCACCGCTTTAGCTCTCACTACATCTCTCTTCATTCTCTTCTACATTTCATCAACCTCTAATATCTTCACCTCTCATCTTCATCATCGCAATTCTCGTCTTCATTTCCTTCAAAATCCTAATGGAGTTTCTCTCAAAACTCACGCAAATCAACCCCAATCTAGTCTCGATTTTGACTCCCCGGTTCCCAATTTGGCGCCTACGGCGGATCACGGAGGAGCTGCGAAACCTTCACCCAGCTCAAATGGTACGAACCTGCTTCACATTTTCTGTTTCAATTCGACGCTAATAATTAATTATCTATCCACACCATTAACACTTTGAATCTACTATAGTTTTTTGCTTCAATTTTGATTTAGAGTATGAAAATATGTGATCAAAAATCCAGGAAGAGGTGTTGAAGATGAAAATGTCTTCCATGATCGAGACATCTTCAAAGAAGACTACATCAAAATGAACACGACTTTCAAAATTTTCGTTTATCCACATCAAAGATCCGACCCGTTCGCTAATGTTCTATTACCAGTCGATTTCGAACCCGAAGGCAACTACGCAAGCGAAAGTTTCTTCAAGAAATCACTCAACAACAGTCATTTCATAACCAAAGATCCCTCAATAGCAGATCTATTCTTTCTACCCTTTTCAATTGCAAGATTACGACATGATCCAAGGGTCGGAATCGATGGTATCCAGGATTTCATCAAAGAATACGTTTTTAACATCAGCCATAAATACCCTTACTGGAATCGAACCGGTGGTGCTGACCATTTCTATGTTTCTTGCCATTCAATCGGACGTGTCGCCATTAACAAAGCAGATGAAGTTAAACGAAACGCAATTCAAGTCGTGTGTTCTTCGAGCTACTTCCAGTCTGCTTATGTCCCTCATAAAGACGCATCTTTGCCACAAATTTGGCCTCGCATAGAAGATGATCCCCCTAATATTACATCAGCCCAAAGGTAACATCATACGAAAAAGTAACATTATTTTTTCGAAATATTATTTTTTATTATTCCTTGAAAACTTATGTCAATTCATGAACGGACATCATTTTCGTGAAAATTTATCTCATTTCGCTAGTTACTTTGTGATAAAGCTTCCCTTTTTTGGTAATTTCCGTGATTAAACTTATTTCTTAGTAGAATCTTGAGAAATGAAACAAATTTGCAGGAAGAAACTAGCTTTTTTTGCAGGATCTATCAACTCCCCTGTTCGTGAAAAACTCGTGAAAACATGGCAAAACAATACACAAATATATGTGCATTCGGGGCGCCTAAACACATCTTATGAAGCCTCACTTTTGGATAGCAAGTTTTGTTTTCATGTGAAGGGGTATGCAGTTAACACAGCTCGCATAGGTGATGCGTTGTATCATGGTTGTGTCCCTGTGATTATAGCAAACCACTATGATCTCCCATTTGCTGACATTTTAAATTGGAAAAGCTTCTCGATAATCATCGCGACATTAGATATACCATCTTTACAGAGGATTCTTAATGGTATAAGTAATGATGAGTATGCAAAGTTGCAAAGTAATGTTCTTGATGTTAGAAAACATTTTAGATGGCATGGTGTTCCTGTTGATTATGATGCTTTTTACATGGTTATGTATGAATTATGGCTTCGAAGAAGCTCTATTAGGGTTCCATTGAGTTAAAGGTTGATATGTAATCAATCATTCTGGTATGATTCTTGTATTTCTTGATTCATTGTTATAATGAAGAGTGAACTGTATTGTATATTGATCTCAAGTAAATACGCGTATTTATACAAAGAAAAAGAACTCAAAATTGAGATAATCACTCCTAATTCTAAGCTAGGACTATGTTGACTTTTGACTACAAGACTATGTCAATTTAACATTTGTATACATGTTTACTGTAACGTCTCAAACAATACCGAGTAAAAATTTCATTTTAAATAAGTGAACACTATTTATTCGTTATCCCAAAAGACGGTCATAATAAAAATATTCTCAAAACATCAAAGTAAAATCGTAAATAGTCAATGCGGAATAAATCTTCAGGAGATTCGATACAATCGAATCAGGCCCTTCCTTTTGAAACAATAGTACCTAAAAACATTTTAAACATAAACCGTAATCACAAAGCTTAATGAATTCCTCAAAATACCACATACCATAAATACATATCATATCATACGTTCATATTATACATAAAGCATTCAACGGGTCTATTTCACCCCTGAGTCCCTTCTGACTCCCCAAGTCTCTTCCGACTCCCTGATCCCTTCCGACTCTCTGAGTCCCTTCAGACTCCTTCGGTATCTTTCAACCGGTACGGGTCTATTTCACCCCTTACAACTAAGCATATAGTCATACTAGCAAGAGTCACAAAGACAAGAAGCCCATACAGACACATCGGTAAGTGCCACGAAGACCACTATTATCCTACAACATAATCCAGTGGGTCGGTATTGGTGCCTTCGACCCACAAGTATAGTGAGGAGACTCACCTGACTCACGAATCAGCTAAACTACAGCTTAAAGTCTCGCAACCGCTGCTACAACACTCCTATCACATCATACAAGATCCAACCTTAGTCTACACACTAAAACCAACTATCATGACCAAAAGTCAACCCAGGTGAAAAGTCAACGGTCAAAGTCAACTGTGACATCCCAGAATTTAGGTCAAAAACTATGAACGGTTAATTCACAATAAATCTATTTGTCATCTTATGTAAAATAAATGAGTCCATTTCAACTATTATAAGACACCAAATGATATCTTACTTCCAAATGTGTAAACTGACAAACGAATCAAACAACTCAAACTGCAACCCTAGTTAATACGTCTGAAAAACTGAAATTGTGTTAAGCAGTTATGAGCGATGAAAACATTAAAACCTTAGAGTACATGTTCCCCTATTTCCAAAAATATAAAGAACGTCCAAAACGTAGTTCGTATGCAAAAGATGCGACAGTTTTAAGAAAAACAGACAGTAAAACACTGATTTTCTTTAATCGTGTAAAACCGAATCGATCTGTTGAGGCACTTGCACACCTCCGATGGAAATTTAGAGAGCGTTTTTGGACTCAGGCTATGGCCTAATATTTAATTTCATACTCAAAATATTTTTAGCGAAAATATTTGCAAAAGTCAAAAAATCGAGCGTTACGAGCTATTTAGACACGAAACTTTAAACGCGATTTCCCGGAGTTCCACAACTTAAAAAATTAATCCATTTGGGTTTTTGGAATCCTTGAAAATAATTCTATCAACCGACACTTTCGAAAAAATATTAGATATCCCAAACCCGGTATGCAAATCGAGGAGCATTTTAGGGCATTTAATGTTAGATTGGTCACTTTGGTGGGCCCCACCTTATGTGATCAGCGAAGAGATGGCCCCTAGGACCCCTTCCCACCATCCAACCCTTTCCTCTTCCCCCCCCCCCCCCCCAAATACCTTTTTGCTTGCACACAACCTCTAAAGGACTAAGCATGGGTATTTGTGGAGTGTTTGACTTCCTTGAGGGGCATTGCCTTGCATGGTTGTGTGTGGCTCCTTCTAGTATAAATAGAGGGCCTTGGAGACCCTCAATACTCACTAAAAACCTCAACCTTCCTCTCTCAATCTCTCCCTCTCCATCTCTTTTCTTTTGATTTTTAATCACCACCAAGAACCACCACTCCACCACCGTAGCCACCTCCTTGTGCCCCTATTTTCGACGACCAACCACCACCACCTTGTGCCACCTTTGTGTTGTTATCTTTTTTTGTGGTGTTTCCTAGTTCAAGACTTTAGTATTCATTATGTTTTGTGGATTTAAATCAAGTCCCAAACAACCCCAGTTTAGATCATTGTTAGTTCGTGTTTTCTCGAAGTGCTTCTCAAAGATAATCGCACTCTCGACTCTAGTTCACAAATCACGCATCAATGGTGAGTGTTTACGTCTCCTTTTTAATGTTTTTACATATCTTGGGGGAATACATGTGCTCACACATTTTGTTTATACAAAAACACTCTTCAAAACATATTACAAAATGTTATCAATTTATGTGAAAAATTATGGTATGTTCAGTGTAACGCCCGTGTTTCTAGGCTAACCATTAGTATGATGATGTAATAGTCTAGGTCAACCATTGTAACCTATTTTAAAGTAATAAAGATGATTTACTGGAATATTATGTGATTTTATGTGAATATATACTTGTTTGTAAAGATATAATAAAAATAAGCGTTAAAAATAAAACGTTAGATAAGTCCGATATCTATGAAAGTTGTAGTGATTGTGACAAGGATTCCAGAGATATAAAGAACGCCGAAATTCGAGTTATAACGAAGAAGTTATGACATGTCGAAGTTTCGCGACAGAACCGGCACGACATTGCGTGACGTAAAAAGTGAGTTCGGGGTAAAGTGCTTTTTAGCCTTAGCGATCTAAGTGAAAGTCGTAGTATACATTAAACCGAGAGCGTCCATAAAAAGAACGTCCAAATCTGACTTCGTATGAGGAAGTTATGAATTTTCTAAGATTTGGCATAACAGTGTGCAACCCGGAATACGAATTATTGATCGATCGATTTTTAGCCGACACAACCTAAACAAGAATCGAATATCTCGTCAATAGTAGGTCAACGGTAAAAAGACAGTCAAAAACGGACGTTGTATGAAGAAGTTATGAATTTTAACGGACTTTTCGTGTCCCGGCCTGTTAAAAATATAACTTTAAAAATAAAGTCAAAATTAGCCGACGGAGTCTAAACAAACGTTGTAGAGTACGGTCTCACCTACGCGTGGATATAAATAACGTTGAAAACGGCGCTGGAATGCGAAAGTTATGAATTTTTGAAGTAAGAGGTACGCATTTCATGGTTATCCGAAGGGAACGCCCCACGTAGAGAAGGAACGCCCTGCGTACGAGGAAGGAACGTTGTGCGGTCTCACATTGCTCGGTCCAGAAGTGGCCACGTAGCTCCATCCGAAAGGTGGCACATCCGAGCCTTGCAAACTGCACCCCGCTCCTACGCGTCGCGCTTGAGGCTACGCCATGCGTACCGAGGAACGCGATGCGTACCCTCGCATGAACGCCCCGCATAGCCAGCAGCTCTCGGCCTATAAAAGGGTGCGAGGCAGCCATCTTTCTTCACACTTTTTACAACCTCTTTATCTCTCTACTCTCTCTCTCTCTCTAACCACCCTAAACCACCCCGAAGCGTAGGGAACCTCCCTATCACTAGAAGAAAGCCCCGGAGCGCCTGACAGCTTCGAGAAAAAGAGTTTTTTCGGTTTAGAAACTCTGCCCCCGCAGAGCCTGGTTTTTAATCAAACCTCCCGGTTTCATTAAAGAATATTATTTTAAGAGGCGAAGTGTTGTCCGAGTCACCACCTTATCAACTAAGTGTGTAGTCACTTTCATCTTACACATAGATATGAAGTATTTTATATAAACTACGTGCTATGTGTATATATATTATTTGTTTACCTGAGATGTATGTTGTATGAAAGATTTAAACTTTGTTTTTCAAATCTGAACTGTATATGTATTTTATATCTACAAATATGTTTGGTAAAACATGGGTAGATGAAATAGTTGATGTGTGATGAAATAAATGATGAGAGGCCTCGATGTTGATGATGATCCAGTCATCTAGCGGAGTATAGATGACGACCACAGACTTTTCTAGGAAGTCCAGTGGAACGCTAGCAGGCTAGCAACCAGTAGGTGTTTGTGAACAATGTGTTCACCGGTGTACTCCATCCCCCTCATGGTTGCCTTATGGACATTTATGGTTGAGGAATCCCCTCAGCAGTAGAGTCCACCCCGATGATGATCCTTAGGCTAGGTCCCTTTTATTAGATGCTTTAGTGACGTAAAGTGAGGATAACGGGAACGGGTAATCAGGGTTTTTTTGGTTTGATGAAATTAATAAACTTATTTATTGTGGGTTGAAAACCCTATATGCTCACCAGGCTCCCAAGCCTGACCCACTCAGTTTCTTGTATTACAGGTAGTGGCAAGGGCATAGTTGGATGATCTGACGGGAGATTACGGATTTATAGGCCAGTAGAAAATATATAGAATGTTGTAAGGCCTATATTGTTTTTTAGGCCAATTTTGTTTTGTGGCCTATGATGTTTTTTGGTTTACGCTTTTGATCTGTATTGACGATGACATCCCGAATTTTGTAATATAATGAAAATACATTTCTTCGGAAATGATTTTGTCTATATTTTTATGGGAACAAATTCCGCAACACTTTTCTTTAAAATGATAATATGATTTGAAAATAAAGCATAAACAAATCGGTCTTTTCTGGCCGTGAAAAATGGGGATGTCACATTCACGACCTGTTTTGCCCATCATAAAGCCTATAGTTTCCAAAACTGTTTTATATGCAAGTATTGCATATTGATACCTTTTCAAGGACTACTCGCATACATTCATATGATTTTTATACAATTTATTATGATTTTGTAAAATTGCCTATCATTGCAGTGCTTTTTGGACCAATCTGTAAAAACGGTCACTTTTACCTTAGTTAGGGTTGATATTAGGTCAGGGAAAAATTAGGGACAAATTAGACTCAATTTCTAAATCTTGAGAGTTTACGAATCCGAATTCTGACTCGCGATGATTTTATATAATTTTTCTAAAACAGGGGAAAAATCGATATTCTAGATTAATTTT